ACTCAGTCACTGTTTGTGCTTCTCAGCTCAGTTCGATGCTGACGAGGAACTGCAGGAGCTGAAAACAGTCCCTGATCTGGTGTTCCATGAGCTGCGGGGGGACAGAGGACGGATGTCATGGTGGATGGGAGCACTGCGGGGGTCTGAGGCTTGTCTGAGGCCCCAGGTGCAGGGGCAGCCTGGAGAGGCAGGAGGAGCTCAGTTCGATGCTGACGAGGAACTGCAGGAGCTGAAAACAGTCCCTGATCTGGTGTTCCATGAGCTGCGGGGGGACAGAGGACGGATGTCATGGTGGATGGGAGCACTGCGGGGGTCTGAGGCTTGTCTGAGGCCCCAGGTGCAGGGGCAGCCTGGAGAGGCAGGAGGACTCAGCACTGCCACTGGCTCTTCGGACAGTCCCTGGCCAGGAGCCCAGGCACATGTAGGAATTTTCTTCTCCAGCCTTTCTGGTTTTGGTTTCCATCCTGAAGCTCCAGAAGCAGCAGCTGAGCCAGCCTGCCCCAGAGGCCCTGCTCCCCCTGTCCCAGACCCACCTCCCCTGGCACGCGCCCAGCACTGCTTCCTTTTGCAACCAACAGTGGGACTTGTTGGGGTTTTGTCTGGGATTGACCATCACCCAGTCCTGCAAGGAGAGATGCTTCCCAGGTGTAAGCGGGTGGTTGAGAAGGACTTTTCCATGCTGAAGCTGGGATGGAAGGGGAGGGAGGATGGGAGGCTGCAGCTGCCCCAGCCCCAGCCTGCCTGAGGAAATGCTCCCAGGCGAGGTGCTTGGTGCGCAGCAGAAAAATACCCAGAAGTTGCCTGCCCCAGGAGACACCAACCACACTTCTCCCTGCCTGCCGGAGCCAGCAGCAAGCTGAGGCAGAGCCAGGAATCTGACCCAGCGACCTTCTCTGGTTTCCCAGCTCGTCCCCTTGGCCAGCTCCCTTCACACAAGACAACGGTCAAAAAAGGGCATTCCCCAGCCCTGGTGTGACCACAAAGGTTTCCTGGTCCTCCCCACTTCTGAGCTTCACCACCAGGGCAGAACACTAGGTCTGGGCTGACCCTGGTGCCATCTGGGTGAACTTTCTGGGGACGCTGAGATGGCCACCCCTGCCTGGTCCCCAGTGCTCTGGCTCTGGGCCCCAGCTCCTTCCACTCCTCTTGCAAAGCAATGATTTTGGTGTCATGGACTGCTCACCTCTCTCTCGATACAGTCCTGTGGCCCCAGTGAGGAGTGCCAGCCCCATCAGCCCACCTCACCCAGCTTGACCCCACAATGACAGGCTTGTGCCTCAGTTTCCCAGTTGCAAGTGAGGGATAGAAATGCTTAAAAGCTTCCTGAGAAGTGTTCAAGGAGCCACTGTATGAAAAAGTAAACCAACATGATTACTGTTTGATTATTCTTATGTTCAGGAAGACCTGGCTGATTTTATATCCCTTTCCTGCTTCCCTTGAAATCTGGGCTGTGTTCCAGGGACCCCGTTGTCTCTGCTGTGTGCCAGAGCTGCTTTGCAGGGTTGCAAAACAGAACCTTATACCTCTCTCTCCTGCTGAGCTACCTGCCCAGCCTGCAGAGCATTTGGACTCCTTTGAGAGCTGCTTTGGGGCATTTCAGCTGTGCTGTTAATTGGCAATTGTCACCTTAATAAATGCAAGCTATAGGCTGATAAAATGCTTTTGTTGGTTTTACTCAGTGCAAAAGATCTTTTGTGCTTTTTCAAACAAAATTTGGGTTTTCTTCCCAAAGCAGCTGAAGAACAGCAGATCACTGGTGCCTGTCTTTTTCAGTAAAACACTGACAAGAGTGTACCCAGAGCTGGGCTCAGCTCAGGCTGCATCCCCAGAAGAGCTTGTGCTGGAGACATGGTTCTGGCTCTCCTTTGAGCAGAGATGCTACTGAATCCCCACCCTCTGATTTCCAGACATCCCTTTGCCAAATTCGCAGTGGCAAATCCAGCAGGTCCAGCTCCTCCAGCCCCTGGCTGTTGATATAATGAGGGGAAAGGGCTGGGGGAGAGGTCTGGGTCTGCAGCAGCATGGAGGCTGGGAGGGAACAGCCCTGGAGGTGCTGGGGCTGCTGCTGCTGCGGCCCTGGGAGCAGGGATGTGGTGCAGAAGGGAAAGTTTTCAGGGCTAAGGCGGCTGAGGTTTTGCCTCTCTCAAAATGGTTGTAGTGGGGTCCTATTAGCCCCCTTCCCCAGGCAGGAGGGGAACATCATCTTCCAGAGCTGACATAGAGAGAGAAAACCATCTTTATTCTTTGGCACCAGCAACAGACAGCATTTTGAAATGAGGCTGAACAATGTGGTTCCACAGTAAGCATCCTGTAAGTAACCAGCATACCATTTCCTCTGCTAGGGAGACAGATCTTACTCACTGCATCTACCCTGCCGTGGCAAAGTTCAGCCAGCTGACTTGGAAGTCAGCCTAGGTTTACATGAGAGCACTAACTCTTAATTTCGACTGACCACTTCCCACAGATAGCTTTAGGGATAAAATCCCTCTTCCATTCTAGCAGCAGAGGCACAAGGAAGGGACAGTTTAGCCACATGTTACACAGCAGCCTATGCGAGATGGGTCTGCAAGGCCAGAAAGTCCACAGCATCACAGCTGCCCATAAGGGTGGCTAAATTATCATGGGCAAATGGCACCTTTGCAAGACAAAAGGAACTTTAGGGGCCCCAAGATGGCTCAGCAGGTCCTGGGACTCAGCAGCAACATTTCTAGGTCTGTGTCAAGACTCTGCTGGATCACCTTGCAGGACTTCTCCAAGGCAGAGACCTCTCAGCTCCAGTGATCACTGCATCTCCAGGGTGT